GAAAACTAAAATTAGTGTACGCTGTACTGAATTTTAGCTCATTTTTATTACCATCCAGTGTTTAAATTGTGTAGTAGGTTTAGTAATAACTTATGCATTGGACAGAAGTGAAACTAGAAGCCTTGAATAAGTCAAGCAAAATGGGCTCTTGAGGGGGAACACCATCTCTAATTTGAGAATACAGTATTAAGTTTTTGGACTGGCCATCCCCCTATTAGTCCAAAATTGTGAGGGCTTACTATGAATACATATCATTCCCAAACTTGCTGCTTTTACAAATCCTATGTAATTTTACACTATTGGCAGAAATAGGACCAATTTTGAAATATTCCATTCAACACCTGAAGGGAAAGTGCAGTAATTTCTATGCAGCATAAAATATTTCTTAAATTACTTAAAAACAAAACTATGCAACAAAGCCAGAGGTGCAAGATCCTTTATTGTTTTGTTTCGCCTCTAAAATTCATTATGCATGGCCTATACTACCTGTATGGGAAGTGCTCATTTGTATATTCTGTAGCTCATCCAATTTCTTTCTATCTGGATGAGTTCTCAATGAACTTGGGTCCTTCATGTTAACTAAGAAATGTGTTGGTGTGGTTGCCACTTTCACTCTTCTCAAACTGCTCCTCAAGAAGTTTATCTTGTGCCAGGTCTCAATTACAAAACTGATTGTGGTTCTCTCCCACTGTAGTACATTATGTCCAAAATTACAGCAGCTGCTTCAAGGTTTGCAATAAATACTTCTATATTTCTTTTAACTGCATAGTTTCTTACTTTCTATATATTTTCATTTTCCAATAAAGCTATTTTCTTTTCACACTTTCACTACCCTGGGCCAACTTTCACCATAGTGGACCAATCTTGATATAGTGATATCTCCATTAGTGGGAACAAATGGTGCAGAGCACTTCCAGGAATGAGAGATTTCCGGGCAACGAGACGACTCTCTCACTCTCTCAAAGCTGGAAAGAATCCCTCATCCCCAGAATTTTTCAGGTAACAGAAAAGTGTTCTTGAAAGTTCCAGAAATTGCACATTACATCATCTCTCAAACCCAGAAAAATATCCCCCATCCCTGGAATATTCCGGAATTTTTCGGGGACCGGGAAATTTTGATCAAATTTCTGGAAAATGCGGTTGATTTTCATCTCTCAAAGCCAGAAGAAAACCTCCCCCATCGCTGGAATTTTCCGGGTACTGGGAAAATTTTCTCCGAATTTTCCAGAAATTGTGCATTACATTCTCGAACCCAGAAAAATATCCCCATCCTTGGAATATTCCGGGTACCGGAAAAAATTTCTCTGAATTTCCGGAAAATGTGCCTGATTTTCATCTCTCAAACCTGGGAATAAACTCCCCCATCCCCAGAATTTTCTGGATAATGGAAAAACTTTCTTGCAATTTTCCAGAAAATGTGCCCCTCGGAAAATCGTTCCCAAAGCCAAAACGATTTTCTGAGAAAATATCAATTCTGGCTATCAGAGAGTTCCGAGTTTTTGAGGGATTCTGACTAACGGAGGTATTACTACATAGCACAGGCACACAAAAAAACACTTACATTATGCTGATGCCCAGGGCACAACACCAGGCACACTTACAGTACTACACATTTACAATACATTTTAAGCAAGTTTTATAGCTAGACATTTTTCCTATCACCAACCCACTTTTACAGAATGGACACCGGGCAATATAACTAAGACTTCCAAGTGCCCTCTTAGGTTACAAGATATGCAGTACAGTACAAGTATATACATTTATATATACTGTATATTGGTTCTAAATAGCTACTGAGACCCAACTATGAAAACTCATTTGTGTTGTTTTTCCTTTGTACTGAATACTGAATAATCTACTCAGTTGCTCTCTTCCTGAAAGAGTGAGTTTTATTTATAAAGTTCCTGTTTAGAGACTTGGTTGTGATGGAGAAACTTAACTAATTACTGTATTAATTCCAGTTACTGTAATAATGTCTAAGGAATTTAACACTAAAAGTTGTATTTTAGATAACAGGATTAAAAAATTAAAAAAAAATTTATTACTATACAAAAATATTCATGGCTCATGCCTAAGACTATCAGAATCTATGTATTTATTATTTCAAAGGAATAACACTTTTCCAATAAACTTACCCAAAGAATCTGGAATAATACGTTCAATAGTTGTGTTGGTGAGAGAGATCTTGGACCGTTCACTCTTAAATCTATCGCGCCCTCTTCCTTCCTCATCTTCCTCCTCTTCTTCCTCCTCCTCTTCCTCTTCTTCCTCTACAATATTTTGGGTTTCTACATGTACATCATCTGCAGCAATAGTACATACAGTATGAAGATCTTATTAATTATTTTCTGTTATTTCAATAAAATCAATTTCATAAAAAATTCCTCTCCCTAAAAACCTTTTCCTATCTTATCAATTTTACCATCTTTATCTGAACACATTTACTCTTCACACAGATCTCACCCCAACATTTATTCCTCACTTCTTTTACTCATTTAATCCACTTTTAATATTCCTTACCTCAGTATTCACAAGATTTCATCTTCTCCTATATTCAATTTTGTATTAATTTTCAACTACAGTCAACCCTCGCTTTACGTGGTCCCACATTCCGCGTTTCCACGTTTACGCGGTACCCTGCCGAAACCGGAATGCTCACATTTCGCGATGCGTGTACCCCTTTACGCGGAGAGCGGCTGGCGAGCCGCGCCATTTTTTGATCCAAACCTCCCGCCATCTCTCCCACCATGTTGTGTAAGCGGCGCGAGCAGGGTGCGCACAAGGTCGCCCAGTCATCAAAACATTACCGAGTTCTTCACCCGCCACCCACCACAGCCGGCCCAAGTCAGTGATAGTGATAATTATAGTGAGGATATGGACTTATATGGACTTTGAGGGATTTGACAAAGAGGCCCTGCAAGCCTCTGTGGTGGATAGTGATACAATTGATACAAGTGATACAGGTGAGGGCCAATAATCTGCCCTCTGCCTCGGAACCAACCCCCCATCCCCGTGTGCCCAGCCATCTTTTCTACTAATGTAAGTGTTAAAAAACCTAATATTGATATTTCTCTTAATTATTAATTGTGTGTGCATACCATCATAAAATTAAGAAGTTATTTTTACTACAACGTAGGTATTGTGTCTGAAAAAGTGGAGTTTGGGGATCGGCCCGGTCTCTATTTCAATTAACCCCATATGTTATGTTGTTCACTTTACGCGTTTCTCACTTTACGCGGGCCGCCGTGGGTTGAATTAACCGCGTAGTGAGGGTTCACTGTACAGTATTTCCTAATACTTAAACATAATTTCTTTTCATATTCCATTTTTAAAATTCTAGATAAATTTGCAGCTACTGCAACTGACTGTAAAACATTTCAACCCTGTCTTGCAAAGTTCTGCCAAAGCTTCTCTAAATTCATGTCCCATTAACTTTGCAAGAGTAACATTTTGAAAGCTACATCCTCGGTGTCAGCTAAACTTGCCAGCATTTTCTTTTTAACAGCACTCACAAACAAGTTTTACCCAATTGCAGCATTTGCAAAATTTTAAAATACCTTTTGGTGTTAACTGCAGTTTTCCTACAAACAAACGTTACTAGGGCACATGAATGTGGTGTAAACAAATGACAATACAGTTTATACAAGCCAAAAAATATTTAAGTACACTGACCATTTGGTGAGTAATGACAATTTACTAGTATTGATAGTTAATTATTAATTAAATTGACAAGTAAAAAAAATTTCAAACTTAATACTTATGGTACATGATAATGTTAAGCAAAGCATGTTGTACATTATACAGGCAGTATACAGCAACAAGCACCAAGACTCTTGATACATGATTAAATAAAGTTATATTATTTAACCTAAAACAATACAAGATACAGTCAAACATTCAATTAACAGTACTTTATATTTTAATGGTAGTACACTGTGTTGGCAGTATGCGGCAACAAGCGAACGAAGTCTACTGTCTCTGGTACAGTACTGGTAAATGATTAAAATATTATTTTATTTATAACAAAAAGAATACAAAATAAATTTTCTTAAAGGGTTAGTTAATATTTAATACCAATGTAAACCATCCAAGTTTCAAAATCTTTCAAATTCTGATTCATCATTATCAGACAAAAAAATCATCTATCATATGGGTCTGCTGACTCTGCCTCCAAATCACTGGCGACGATGGCAACACTGGCCGAGCTGCTGAAGGCCAGCCAGCTGTTCCCAGGCGCCTGCATTGTTTACAACTTTACACCACATTCAAGTAAACATTTATAAAACCCAGGTGCATTACATGAATATGCCGTAACTATATTTTTAAAAAATTTAACAACAATATTACAAGCAACTGCCCTGGTGACGTTTGTTTGTAAGAAACCACATTTTACACCAAAAGATATTTTAATGTTTTGGAAGGTGTCAGTACATATGACTAGTGTAAATACTGACTTTAGGCCAAGTTCAGTAACAGTTACCCTTCTGGAAAAATGCTACAGTTAGGTAAAACTTGTTTGAGAGTGCTGAAAATTAAGTGACTGAGACCTACTGGTACGGTAAAGTGATAATCTGATGCTAGTGGTGGAGCGTACCTAGAGGTTGACATTTTATACCTGTTGTACAGTACAGTAGAAGACAACCCCTAAATTTGAGCACAAAAAATTGAAGATTCAAAATTCGACTTATAAGCCACAATATACGGTACCCACAAAACTGAGTGTACGTAAGTATAAATGAATAACATTGTCTCCATTCAACATTATGTTAAATAATATTTTAAAGATGGAGTGAGAAAGGTGTGGGTGATAAGAGAGATGCAGTGGAAAAGAGTGGTAAAGAGTGGAGTAGAAAAGAGTGGTAACACAGCACTTGGTAACACACCAGTGTGTTACCAAGTGCTCCTCAACAGCTGGTCTTGAACCTGCCACCATGCACTTCAATTAATCACACAAAATTTTATGTCACACAATAAGATCTACACTTAATATACAGGGACAGTATTACCTTATTTATTATTAATATATATAATGTACTGTATTGTCTTTAATGGGGATACTGTACAGGGGTCTAATCAGATTTTATATAGGCCTAACGTGAGCTAATAGGTAAGCCTTGTTTGCCAATGTTTTAATTTACTTTTTTCTTTTTCTTAACGGAGAGTAGTCCACCCTGACACAGGGGCCTAGGGGGGGCCAAAAAATAAAGAGTAAAAATAAATTAAAAATAGACAAGAAAAAGATTATATTAATCTACACCAAGAAGATGCCGGAAAACCAGCTTTTTGAAGTGAGACAGATTGTATGAGTATGGAAACAGAAAAAAGCAGAGCAATCCATAGTTTGGCTGTGTGAGGAAAGAAGGAGGTACCATAACAGGTTATTCTAGTGTGACCAACATCCAGAGAGAAACAGTGGGCACCATGGGCAAGACGAGTGTTACGAGCCCACGGCCTTGCCGACGGTACACAGGATGCCAAATCCACCGAACATTGGTCGTTAAAGTACATTCTTGTTTGATCAACCTCTTGTGGTATATGTTTTATCATAAATAATATCGCACACAGTAATAAAGAATAGAACAAAATACAATACTGTACAGTATGCAATTTTACTTCAAAATAAAACAACAAGGGATGTACCAGTCATCCCTCCCTCCGTTACCCTCCATAAAGGGGAAGGGGGTGAGGGTTGGGAAGGGCTGTGTCATATTTGTCAGTTTGATTTTATGTACAGTACAGTATTCATTATTATATTTTTGTAACATCAGCCTCTTATAGTGTATGTTTTATCATTGATAATATAAAATATTAAATACTATAGAAAAAATACATATAAAATTTGTAATATGACATCAAAATTAAATGACAAGACCAAATTAGAAGATAATCTTTTCCCTTGACCTCTGCATAGGAGGAAGTGGCCATTGTCGAGTTCCCCATTATCTTTTATTCATTACAGTACTGATACATTATAAAAGTAAGTGTTATCATTTTTTTGGCCCTCCCCCTCCCCCCATTGTAGGTTTATGACCTTTGCCCAGGAGGGCTATTGCCTATAAAAAACGAAAAAAAATAAATAAAATAAAAATAATTCATATTCTCGACTTTTAGTATGAGGGAAGCTCCCGCTTGCAGTGCACCTCACCCCATCCATCTTGCTACATGGATGTTACCATAGCTGACCAAGAAGGAAATACTCGTGGGCCTCTGGGCAAAAGAAGTGAAAAGCGGCAGGCACTCTTGAATGCCAGAAAGGTTGAAATTTTGAAGAAACTCGAAGCTGGGACGAGGATATGCAATGTAGGACGCCATTATAAAGCCAATGAATCCATCATCAGAATCCCCAGGAAATGCAAGGAGAAAATATTGCCTGCTCTCCCACCTGGAGATTCAGAATTCTGTGCTTGTTACCTGAAGTCTTTCTAGAGTAAAGGTCTGACAAGTCCAGTACAATATAGCGATTTTAACATGTGTCAAATGGCATTGTTTGCGCGGATTTCCGATGCATGGACGTGTACCTGTACAATATTCCCATGCAAAAGGAAACCCTCACTGTATGGTACAGTACAAGGATTAAGAAAACTAGGCTGAGTTTAACGTTCAAGTCTACAGAATATGTAGTTTGGGAATGTTAAGCGTAAGACACCCTGCCACAAGTTTGAACTTCTGAATGTGAGACCTATAGTAGCAAAGCAGTAGTCAGACACTCACCAATCTGGTAACTGCGTGTGAGGCAGGCCGGGAAGCAAGGGAGAGGGACTGGAGGTGGAGGAGGAGTGGCGTTAGGTTACGAAACTTGCTGGCCTGCTGGGGGGAGTGTGGTGTATACCACCAATGTATATTTTCTCAGTACATTAAGGATTGATGAAATTAATGGAGTTAGCACTGTATAGTAAATGTTGTGATTAATTTTAACTATGTGTTATGAGTCTAATTATATAGGATGACGGTATAACACAGTTATCAGATAGGCAAGTGTTTGGCTACTGTTTGGCTACCATAAGTCTCATATTCAGAAGTTCGAACTTGTGGCTGGGTGTCTTATAAGGAACATTCCCCGATTGTACAGCGTTGTCCAGCCTAACCTATCTGAGTTACTTGCAAATCTCATAAATTATTAAGTTAAAAAGAGCAAACATGAGTACAGGCATGCCAATTCCCCTAGGAATATTATAATATTAATTTAACATGCACTGTACTGTACTGTATTGTACTGTACTGTACTGTACTGTACTGTACTATACTATACTAACTCTGCTCCCAAAAAGAAAGGTCATCCACAAATCCCAACTGCACATATTCATGTCCTATCCAGCCAATTTTTGGTGAATCAGCCCCATTGGGGTGAGACCTGGACCCTCATAAACAAAATCTATAAATATTGTAGATTGAGGTATGTGTACGTGAGTGTGGTCACATAACATGGGATGATACTAGCCACCCTACTAGAGGTATAGGGTTGACCTGCAATAGGGGAAGGACAATAAAATATAATTGAACCTTGTATGACCCATAACCATAAGGTAGATTATGGTCTTAATACATGATTAAACCTAGAACAGCATTTCCTACATGATATTCCTTATGTGTCTTTATAAAAAGGGTTTTGACATGAAACTTTTTATAGTACAGTACTGCAACAGTCAGGGAGGAGTCACATTGTGCTCCACTAAATGAAATGTGAGTGACATGTTGGCCTTGGATTCAAAATGACAAAATGTAAATTTGACATGGCACACCTAGAGGACTTGTACAAATGGGGAACAAACGTTTTATAGTGTATGATATTAGTTCTTCAGCCAGCAGCATGTATTATGAGAGCCACATTAAGCATAGCTACAAATATCAATACTCATAACAAATTTAAAAACAGGTGCTATAACTCACTCAACGAAGATTCATTGTAATGCTCTTGAAGTTCTTCCTCTTCATAAACTGAATCAGATGTTTGTAACCTGCTATGGATATTTTTTGAGTGGCTAATGTGCCCACCCTCATCATCATCAAATTCATCTTCAACTCCCAGCTCAATGATGTCCTCAACTGCAACCTGGTAATTTCAGAAATAAAAATTAGTCTAGTTTTGTCCAATATTAAGTCCAGTAACTGAAGCACTAGAAAATCAAGTGTATAAAAAATAGCAATGCCACCGTAAACAAGAAAAAAAAATTATTACTGTACGATATTACAAATCCAGTCGGTTTTTCAAAAGGAACACACTCTTTTTCTTGTTACAGTATTCAGTCATTCTTGATACTGTCACATGTGTTTTGTTATGGTGTTCCCTCCCATAACACAACCCCATGATTTCCATCTAATCAATGACCATCACTTCATATAAACCACCCAACACCAATCAGTTGCATGTCTATCCCTAAATGAACCAAATACTATACACTTCTACAGTAAAAGTCCAAAAATCCGGATGCCAGGAATCCGGACTTTTTGAAAACTCAAACTTTTTAAATTTAGCGGTCTTTTGTGGGTTACGTGAATGAATGGAGTTGCTTTAAAAAATTAATTTACATAATTCTAATAATATAAGTAATTGTAAATTACAGGTAGCTAATTTTGTTAGTTTGTAATTAGCTTGAACTGAAATGTAAAATTTGAGGCACTATAAATCTTTTGTGTGTATGTGTGCATGAGTGAATGCCACAGCTGCACAGCGACAACAAACGACCACACGATCGCCACTTTAAAACAAGCAATCAAACTGTGACAACGTATGTAATTTTGAGTCCTACTCTTTCCATGTACAGAGTACTGGCCCATAATAATGGCCCCTAAAGTAGATAAACTTTAATGTGTGAAGAGAAAGAAGAACACATTGAAATTGAGTGACAAACTTGAAATAATTAAGAAACTAGAACGTGGTGTGAGCAATGCTGTTCTAATGGAAATATACAACATTGGAAAGTCTACAATTTATGATATAAAAAAGGCAAAGAATAAAATTCTAGAATTCACAGCTTCTTCTGAGCCTTACATTAAAATTGCTGAAAGAAAAAGTTTACATTGGCCCAAATTAGAAAATCTTGATAAAGTGTTGCACGAATGGTTTTTGTTAAAACGATCAAAAGGTATGGCAATTTCTGGGCCGATACTTATTGCCAAAGCAAAGTCTTTTAAGGAGCAAATGAACATCGAATCAGAGTGCGCATTTAGTGATGGATGGCTTAGGAATTTCAAGACTCGTCATGGTATTAGACAGTTTGTTTACATTTTTGTCTAGTGTTGACTTTGTTTCTTTAAAACTGCTCGTTTTGATAAATGAAGCATGCTTTATTTGCTAATGAATAAACTATCAAAATGTACCTGTTCATCTCATCTTTATTCCTCCTTAAATTTTAGTTTTAAAAGTACTGCCTGAGAATCCGGAAAATCCGAAAATCCGGACCTACCCAATCCCCAAGCAGTCCGGATTTTTGGACTTCTACTGTACTGTACTACAGTATAATCCATGGATTGATAACAGAAATCACATTTTACAGCACAGTTGTGATGATGAGGCTTCTGTATTTACCGATCATGTCTATGGGTCATTGATTGCCTACATTAGTCAATCAGTTAGAGTAAGTAGTAGAAATTACGGGCAGGCCTTTCAAGTTTACAACAGTGTGTCTAAATTTTTCCGTTAAATGCAAGTTGCCGGTAAATCCAGTGCCATTAAATCAAGGTTCAATGGCTTGAATTCACGTAAAATTCCTGGTTTATTTGTAAAATTCCCTGGTTTTCCAGGGTTTCCGGCCCCAAATTTAAATTTCCCTGCCGTTTCCAGCTTTTCCAGACCCATAAAAACCCATATTCACAAGACACTGACATAGAAAACATAAGTAAAACAATAAAAATGAATGCAAGATTATGAGTCACTAAGTATACAGGATAGGATGTTAGAGTGTAGCCACAAGGGGAACTGGGAGAGGGAGGCGAGATATAATCATCCACCATGTTTGCCCATGTTGTGTTGCTGGGAAAAATAAGCACACATCGAGAGACAATCTTGCCACAACCACGCTACAGCATAACAAATTTTAATAGCAAGTACACTGCAGTAAAGAACTGCTTTTAGTAATGTTGTATACTGTATAGTGAGGGTTTGCTTTACCCAGAGTAGAAGTAAAAATATCACATTCTCCATACAGGCAAGTGGGTAGTTTTTTATTACCCCAGAGAGTTGCGACCCGGCCTTACCAGCAGCTCTCATCCTGTGGGTTGGCATTAGGAAGGGCATCAAGCCCTAAAATTTTGCTTCAACATGCATGTTGGCAACTTGGTCACCAGAGTTGTGCAGCTTGTGCACATTCCCAATCTCAGTTGCAATTTTTGGGCTGGCAGCCTGGGTTTGTGGTGAAGAATGAGGGGAACATTCCATTATAGTTCTACCCAACAGCTGCCTTCAGGTAATTGTGGCAAATCCCCACAAGTGTAGAAAAAGACCATAAAATGTTGATGATGACTCAATCCTTTTACTTCAAAAAGGTAGATGCACTGGGTGAAGAATGAAAAGTTTTATATACCATACAGTATTAATTAAATCTTAAATTAAATGTTAATAATACCTGACCCTGGAGGTATTCTGGTATGCAGGGTGAGCTGGAGGAATATAGAGGGGTATAACTGGTGTAAGAAGTTCGTGAAGCAAATAGGTGTTATGAATATTGTTGGACTTACTTCAGCTTTGATATTTAGTTAATATTATATAAAATAGTACGAAGTAACATGGGTAAACCAGATGGATCTCAAGGTAACTGTTAATGGAAGGGGAACAGCAGAACAGATATCTGGTACAGTGGCTAGTACAGAATGATGAAGGTAAATAAGGAAGTCTTGTTTTCCCAATGATTTCAGCCATTCTAAGACACAGCAAGAGTGAAACATAAACTGCACAAACTCCTGACACAAGCGAGAAGCATCATATGCTCGACAACTCATGGACTAACCTCCTGAGATGGATCTTCACCAGCCAAGAGAGCTTCTTCCTCTTCTTCATCAAGATCATATTCATAATCTAAATCCTCTCCAATTAGTTCTTCTTCCAAACTGAAAAATAACATAAAATTATATAATGAGAAAATACATTAAAAATAATATTCATTAAAACTTAGAAGAAAAAATATTATTAGTACTGTACAGTATTTTGAAAAATTTTGGTAATAGAAATCCTAAAATACAATTTCATGGCCGAGAGGTAATCAGATGGCTTGTAATACAGTATATAAAGCTTGCCTTATCCATATGACAGTGCCACCCACTGTCATGGCTTGGATGCAGGGAGGGTACTGTATAGGAGCTACCTCTGTGGGAATTGCCATTAAAAACAGTGGTCACAAAGCCAATCCAGGACAGAGACAGGACTTGAAAAGGGGAAGGACCCAATTATGACCACAAACCCAAATTATATACTGCACAGTTCTGTATTTTGAAGAGTGTATTCAAGGTTTTAGAAAGGGGAGCTCATTAGGACGAATGTCTGGATTTTTAAGAAGGTGAGAGACTGAGAGGTTTCCAGCATCACTCACAGAGAATTCAAATGATGTTGGGACAATGTAAATATGATTGAAGAGCACAAGAGAACAAAGTCTCCAAACCACTGGGGAAGTCCAGACATGTTTTCCTAAATTAAAAAATATGGAACAATACAGTATTTGAAACTGTATTCCATGCCAGTCATAATACTGATACCTGTAATATAAAAATATCTTTCCTTGAATCCTGCTCAGCCATGTTAATATTGTTATCATTATCCACTCTGTATCTGTATTTTTCTGGCTAAATAAACTGTTACAATTCAATTCTTCCCAGCTGGGTGAAAGCTAAGAGTTCTTGCCCACAAAAGTAATATACAGGTGCTACACAAGCTATTGCCATGGCTACAAGCTGGGCTACAGTATCATCCCTCATCAGTTTAGAATTCCATCCCATAAATATTGAACAACAAAGCTGATATAAAACCATGGAGGACATTGTCATCATTATTATTTTATAGCTATGTTCTACTCTTCTGTGAGTTAGGCAAGATTTTGTGATTTGTCATCAGGCAAATTTTAAGCAAATTTTAAATTGGACACCCTTCTTATTGCCAGCCCAGTTTTAGAGAGTAAAAACTGAGCATTATACAGTACTGTAAACTTTCCTCCCAATCTTTTGTCCCACCCCAATATCCATCCAACTTTTTTGCCCAAATTACCAACTATAATCAGAAAACTTACACAAAAATTAATAATTACCAGCACTACAGACAAAGGATGAAGATACAGTAATTCCCTCCTACTAGGCCTTGGTGATGGTGCAGAAGCCATATCAATGTGGGTGGAATAGCGCTTTGCCCAATCAGATTCGATTGTGATTTTGGGTCTCTCTTGCTTCAAAATTCAAATTCATTTCCGATCATGGAAGTCTGCGATGGGTGTCACTTCAATTATATGGAGTTAATTGCGCGTTTTGGGGAAAAAACGAACAAGCAATAGCATTTTTTAGATCACATGGTGTTCTCCCGACCTCAATAAAGATTCTAATTCGGAATAAGGTAAGAAATAACAGTGATTCCCTCATATGGTGAGAGTCTGGTTATGTAAAAACACCATAAGAGTTAAGTTAAGTTAAGTTAGGTTAGGTTAGGTCAGGTTAGGTCATCCCAAAAAAGCTTAGGTTTATATATTTTTCTCGTGCTTTTTAGTGTATTTTGTATTTACCTGGCCATGATTTTTGTTGGAAAACGCCCCACCCAAAACCCCGGTTCCCAACAGGATCCCCTATCATGTTGGGGGTAGAAGGGGGAGATAACTAAAAAAACAGGCAATTTCCAACAGAAATCAAGGTCAGAACCAATCAAAACACAAAAAAACAGGTTAATATATAGGACTAACCAGTGAGTTATTTTTATTACTGTTTATTTTCTTATAATGTTCATCAGTGAGTTTTGATATAATAATCATTTATTGTGGAAATTGTTCGTTTCATAGATAATTAGGCGCCTAGGCACGCACTAGTTTATCTTGCGGGCGGTAATGAGGCCGCTCTCTGCTGAGGGGCTTTTCCCACAGCCAGAGCAGTTTGATTTTCAGCATGTCACGTGAAGGTTGTCGCCAATCTTACATGGACGTAATTTGTAAATTTATGGGTAAAGACAACGAGACCCTTCAATTGTTTAAAGATCACGGCCTTCTTCCTTTCCATAGAGACTGCTTATTTTCTTACATTATTTTCATCAGTGAGTTCTGGTGTGATAATCATTTATTGTGGAACCCGCCAACACAGCAAATCACTCTGCCGCCCGGGGTGTATAGCGCCAATTCGGCCGTATCATGTCACGTCCAGAAAATGCCTTAAATTTCACCATATCATAGTAAGTTCTTTCTGTTTAATATACATGGGGGTCCGGGGGGGCTCTAAAAAGTTAGGTAAGGTTAGGTAGGTTTGCTTGATTAGGAAATTAGGTAGGGTTGTTTGATTAGGTTGGTTAGGTCAGTTTTTCATACCCACAAATGTTAAGTAACATTTCTTTTTAAAATATCCAATTTTACATATTTTCACAAACTACAAGTGTTGGTGGTACAGCGGTAACGCGCATAACTCTCACCAATATGTCAAGGGTTCGAGCTTCGGCCCGAACACACTTGAGAAGGGTGTTATCCAGTGTGACCCTACCAAACACCACAGATTTCCCAGCCCCCGGTTTCCTCCTGTACTAACACTGGAGAGACCGCCCAAACGGTTTAGTAAGTTGATATGTGGCGAATACGATAAAAAAAAAGGTAAATTTTTACTTAAAAACATGAGTCCCTAGGGGTTGACCAATATATTTTTCCAGTGTATTTTGGTGTGTTTTAAACGAATCTGACCTTCATTTTTGGAGGAAATTGATAGATTTTGTCCCCCCCCCCCCCAACAATAATGGGAGAGCCTGGGAAATCGGGGTTTTTGGGTGGGGAAGAAAACGAAAACGAGTCATCTGACCTAACAAAACCTAACCTGGAAAGCCCCTGGAAGGCCTAACCTAGCCCCTAGCCGGGGGCTCCGGCCCCGGACCCCCGGTAGGCCTAGCTTAAACTCACCTAAATGTTTCAGTAGTTAATAGTTAAAAACTTTGAGGCGCACCATGTCCGAAAGTACAATACCTTGGTTAGAAGTAGAAGGACCAGGGATGCATAAGAATTGGATAGAATGATCATCTTTCTCGTAAAACTCAGCAATACACTTAAAATAATCGTAGAACCACAAATAATAACCAACTTCCACCACGGCCATTGTGAGACTGGTCGATGAAATTACCCAGGCTGCTTCCTTTGAAATAAATCAAATGTGATTGGTCGCAAAAAAAATTGCGTCAAGCTATCGATCACTCATTGGTCACGACTGGATGACATCAGTCAATAATGTGCATGCATGATGTGCCGATAAAATCTCACAGACGAAGACTGAAAACTACTTAAAATCAATTAAATTCAACTGTGTCGCTATTATCCATTTCCGCTATGTATATATGGGGGGGTTCAAAATGCTCAGAATATCGAGATCTAAATGTATCAGTTGATTATAACTTTCGGTGCGCTATGTCTGAAAGTAAAATAGGTATTATTGCGTTTACACACCGTTCACTCCTACCACTAATCTATTATCATATTCGAATAAGACGTCTAATCATAAGATAATTTTCATCTATCACATTACCGGCGGAAATGTACAATAACGGAGATAGCTTTTCCCAAAAAATTTCTATTTTCTTCCATTAACCTCTCGCCATTATCGTCTGCTTCTCACCCAACACTGCGTGTCTCTCGCGTCTCCTTCATAAATCATGACACACATGCATACACGTCACGCAGCCAATGAAAAGCTTTTTTGCTTTTGGAACCAATTAAAATGGTTTTGGGTTTAATTCAGAGTATATTTGGCCCAGTCAAAATCAAGTTTTATTTTGGGTCTCTCATATTTTGAAATTCAAGTTCAGTTCCGACCATGGAAGTCTGCGATGGATGACACTTAAAGTATATGGAGCCGATTACGAGTTTTTGGAAAAAAAACGTAGAAACTATAGCATTTTTTCGATCGCACGGTGTTCTTCCAACCTCAGTAAAGTGTACTAAGAGCAAGACTGAATGTAAATATCGCAAAGACCAACATATGTGGCGTTGTGTAAGAATCCCAGAATGGGTATTATTTTCTTGTAGCTCCGTTCATTCCTACCACTAATCTATTATCATATTCGAATAAGACGTCTCATTATAAGATAATTTTCATCTAATACATTACCGGAGGAAATGCATAATAACGGAAATAGCTCTTCCAAAAATTTTTCTATTTTCTTCCATTAACATCGCGCCATTATCGTCTGCCTCTCACCTAACACTGCTGTCTCTCGCATCTCCTCAATAAATCATGACGCGCATGCGTAACCGTACACGTCATGCGGCCATTCAAAAGCGTTTTTGCTAATTCAGAGTATATTTGGCCCAATCAAAATCGAGTTTTATTTTGGGTCTCTCATATTTTGAAATTGACGTTCAGTTCCGACCATGGAAGTCTGCGATGGATGTCACTTAAATATATGGAGCTGATTGCGAGTTTTGGAAAAAAAAATAACGTAGAAACTATAGCATTTTTTCGATCGCATGGTGTTCTTCCAACCTCAGTAAAGTGTACTAAGAGCAAGACTGAATGTAAATATCGCAAAGACCAACATGTGGCGTTATGTAAGAATCCCAGAATGCAACGACGAACAAGAACCAGGCCAATAAGGTAAGAAATAGGTGATTCCATCATATTGTGAGAGTCAGTTAAGTTAGGTCAGGTTTGGTTGGGTTATTGTTTTTCTAGTGTTTTATTGTGTATTTGTTAGTCGCATAGGCACTTTTTTTCTCGGAAAACGTCAAACGAAAAAAAATCGCAAAAAGAAAAACGGCTAATTTCCGCCAAAAAGGAAGGTCATATTTGGTATCAGCACACACAAATACACTAGAAAAATATATTTTTAACTTGCTACAAGTGAACGGTGCTACAAGAAAAATTTACCCCAGAATGCAACGACGAACAAGAACCAGGCCAATAAGGTAAGAAATAGGTGATTCCATCATATGGTGAGTTCAGTTAAGTTAGGTTAGGTTAGGTTTTTGTAATTCTATTGTTTTTTGTGTATTTTTAGTCGCTATAGCCACTTTTTTTCGGAAATTGTCAAACGAAAAAAAAATCGCTAAAAAAACCCGGCGAATTTCCGCCAAAAATGAAGGTCATAAAAAGGTCTAAACACACACAAATACACTAGAAAAATATATTTTTTACTTGCTAAAAGTGAACGGTGTGACAATGCAAATTTACCGTAAAATAATACCCCCAAAAATATGTGAAAAGATTTTCATCAAGTTTTTTCAATCAATTTCGCTCACTAGTTAGTCCTATATAATTACCAAAAATACACTACAAAAACATAGTTTTGACTTTCTAACAGTGTTGTGTGAACTACTATAAACTTACCTTGAATTCTGCTAAAAATATGTAGAATGCATGTCATTGCCCCTAATACAAGAGAGCACACGCAATTAAACTTGAACAATAAAAGATTATTCGTTTTATGCCTCTAAATACCCCACTACTAACCAAACTCTTCATATCTGTATATCGAGCCTACCAGCATGGGAGTTAATGTGGATGATCGTAAAATGGTGTATGAATCTAACATTACCATTGCTGTTTTAAGTAGGGTATCATCGAGTACTTACTCTGCCATCTTTCAACAATCTTTTATGTTCCTATATGCACGTCAGCTGCCGATTAAGCATTAAACTAAATAGTCAAATGCCATAGCATCATACAATCAATGAATGATAAGGCTGGTAACAACAAACGAATTCACAGTCTTTCGCAGAAATTGGAAAGGTTTATGGTTCCCAAGAGAAACATTAAATTTATTGTTCAGTATAGTGTCATCATTTACAATTTAATAGTGCTATTTTATATTTTTATTATGTGCACTAATTTTAATAATAAAATCATAACAAAATGTATATGAAGATAAGAAATGATTCTCAGAACTAGTAATTTTACTAAAGATATCCATAGAAATCGAGTTTGGGGGGAACTTAACTATTGCAGCCAGGACACAACAAAGTGTGTCCTGGCTGCAATAGTTTTAAACTCCCTGTCTAATTTAGTTTTGTCATCATTCCTAACACTATTTCCCTGTAGTCTTTCACTTTGTTTATCCGCTCCCACTGCAGTCTCCTCCACCCCCATGCTCATATGTTCTCTTAGCAGTTTAAAGACTTCGATATCTTTTGAACTGCCCCCTCTAGAGCCCCAGCCAGGGTTGCTACTCCATCCCTAGACAGGTGCACCCCGTCCCTAGCATAAAGGTCCCTTCTGCTATAGAAGTTGTCCCAGTTGTCAGTGAATGGGACTGATATTGACTTGCAATATCTGTCAAGACGGTCGTTGACACCAACTGCCCTTGACAACCATTCACTGCCAACTCTCCTTCTAGGCAGGACACCGCATATGATAGGGATCCCTCCCTTAGTCCTAATATGATCTATAGCTGCCTTGAACTTATCAAGAAGCTCCTCGCTCCTACACCGGCCAATATCATTGCCTTCTGTACTGAGGCAGATAATGGGTTTGTTCCCATTACCAGACAAGATATTGTCCATCCTGTCAACTATATCCCCCACCCCAGCTCCTGACAAACACACCCTCATCCTATTTTTGATTTTACCACAAAAGGCCCTGTTCATGTACCTTACCTGTGAGTCACCAACAATTAAAGTTTTTATACCTTCCTTGTCATCCCTGTCCCTGACTGTACTAACGTCCAATTCGTCTATCAAGGGACTGAACGGGTTGGTACACTTAGCTGTTGTTGTCGTTGTTGTCGTATCCTTGGTGTACTTCTTCACCACCAGCTTCGTCTTCCCACTACTCACAACTTTCCTCTCGCTTGAGTTTTCGACAGACACTGACTTTACTCGTCCAGCCTCTCCTTTTAACTTCGCCAGCTCTTTCCTTAATTTCAGGTTCTCCAACGTGGCCCTCTCAATTTCTAACTTGGCCCTCGCCAATTCTTCAATGGACCACTCCAGTTTGGTCAACAAACTCTCATACCCAAGACCGCACATAGCACTGGCCATATCTGATAATTATCCCTCCGGAGCTAACCCTGCCGTGACCTTTCCCCTAGTGAGGTCAGAACACAACTGTGAGGCAGAACGGGCAGTGCATGCCTCATGTGAGACAACGGCGATGGCGTGGATGAGCCGGTCGCTGGATATAACTGTCTATATACACACTATCTGTGGGAGAAGAGAGGGAGAAAAGGGTGTGTGGAGGCGATGAATGTTGTGCTTCCCTCACGGCAGGTACAGAGTCGTCAGATGCGCCTGCTGGGGTGTGTGGGCCTGGGTCAGGAGCAGGGGCTGCGTCAGGAGAAGCGGATGAGGGCTCGTGACAGCTGCTGGGTCCACGACAGCAACAGGGTGCAGGACATTAGCAGGGAGCACCTGTGGTGTAGAGACAGTAGTTGTAGAGCTGATGAGAGCTGCTTCTGTGTGGATAAGCCAGTCTTCCATGTTGCTTGAAGACTGGGAGCGTGATCAGTTTCTCCTCCATCCTGTGTGAGTGCGAATCTCCGGGAGTCACCATTTGTGGGGTTCAGGATTGTTTGGTTCTCACTCAGGATGGGATGGAGAAAGGAAACTCACAATGTGCTCTCTATATACATGTTGTATTGGATGTACAATGCAGCTTGGTGCTGGGAAGGCAGCATGGTTACAAGCGTGATGTAGAGAGAGCTGGTTGGTGAGGACGCTCAGAGGAGGACCAGCCTGTAGTGGAATTCTCCCCTACAAACGCTGTTTGTCGTTGCCTAGCCGACCCCACCAATTCCCCAGTGTATGCCTCGTGGTCTAGGTCAACCAGCGCCGCCATACACCACGGAGCGGGGGTCAACTGCTAAGCCACGCCTACCCCCGATATTTAAGACCTGACCTCGTGGTGATCTGTCTCTCTTTCTACCTACACCAACCAGCCAGCAACACCTCCGCCTGCCTGGCGGTCCTCTCTCCCGCTGGCGAGCATGGCGACCCACAAGCTGTCCTTCTCTGAGCGTCCTCACCAACCAGCTCTCTCTACATCACGCTTGTAACCATGCTGCCTTCCCAGCACCAAGCTGCATTGTACATCCAATACAACATGTATATAGAGAGCACATTGTGAGTTTCCTTTCTCCATCCCATCCTGAGTGTGAACCAAACATCTCATACCCCACAAATGGTGACTCCCGGAGATTCGCACTCACACAGGATGGAGGAGAAACTGATCACGCTCCCAGTCTTCAAGCAACATGGAAGACTGGCTTATCCACCCAGAAGCAGCTCTCATCGGCTCTACAGCTACTGTCTCTACACCGCAGGTTAGACACCCTAGAGCAGCTCTGCTACTCTAAGCAGACACCAGCTCCTCTTCCTGCCCTAAGCACCACGTCCTACCGACCCCAGCACACCCGTCCTGCCTCAGACGCCGACCCCGGCCCAGCAGTAACCCCTGCCGCCCTTGATGCGGCCTCTGTTCCTGAGTGCGGACACACACACCCCCTCTTTTCTCCCCCAGGTACTCCCTGCTAATGTCCTGCACCCTGCTGCTGTCGTGGACCCAGCTGCTGTCACGAGCCCTCATCCGTTTCTGCTGACGCAGCCCCTGCTCCTGACCCAGGCCCACACACCCCAGCAGGCGCATCTGACGACTCGGTACCTGCCGTGAGGGAAGCACAAAATTCATCGCCTCCACACACCCTTATTCTCCCTCTCTACTCCCACAGATATTGTGTATCTAGACAGTTGTCCCCAGCGACCGGCTCATCCACGCCATCGCCGTTGTCTCACATGAGGCACGCACCGCCCGTTCTGCCTCACATGTGCTATGCAACCCTGCAGACAACAAGTCTCCTACACAGCCTGGAGGGAAGGGGGAGTATTGTAGTGGAATTCTCCCCTACAAACGCTGTTTGTCGTTGCCTAGCCGACCCCACCAATTCCCCAGTGTATGCCTCGTGGTCTAGGTCAACCAGCGCCGCCATACACCACGGAGCGGGGGTCAACTGCTAAGCCACGCCTACCCCCGATATTTAAGACCTGACCTCGTGGTGATCTGTCTCTCTTTCTACCTACACCAACCAGCCAGCAACACCTCCGCCTGCCTGGCGGTCCTCTCTCCCGCTGGCGAGCATGGCGACCCACAAGCTGTCCTTCTCTGAGCGTCCTCACCAACCAGCTCCCTCTACATCACGCTTGTAACCATGCTGCCTTCCCAGCACCAAGCTGCATTGTACATCCAATACAACATGTATACAGAGAGCACATTGTGAGTTTCCTTTCTCCATCTCATCCTGAGTGTGAACCAAACATCTGGAACCCCACAAGCCTGTGGGTCGCCACGCTCGCCGGCGGGAGAGAGGACCGCCAGGCAGGCGGAGGAGGAGCGAGGGCCGCCAGGCAGCGGCGGAGGTGGTGTTGCTGGCTGGTTGGTGTAGGTAGAAAAGAGCGATCATCACGAGGTCAGGTCTTAAATAGCGGGGGTTGGCGTGGCTTAGTAGTTGACCCCAGCTCCGTGGGCGGCACTGGTTGACCTAGACCACGAGGCATACACTGGGGAATTCGTGGGGTCGGCTACGCAGCGACAAACAGCGTTTGTAGGGGAGAAATCCACTACAAGCCCATACAAAGACAAACAGAGAATTTGACAACTGGCCACATACAGTACGCTACAGTGCGAGATCTCCTACGTGTACTTATGTATGTGAGCCTATCAAAGAGAAAATAGACAAGCATAGAGAGATTTGACAACTGGCCACATACAGTACGCTACAATGCCTACATAAGAACATAAGAAAATAAGGAGTCTGCAATAGGCCGGTTGGCCTGTGCATGGCCCTAGGGTGTTGTTCAAACCATTGTATTTGCAATTATCATCTTGTTTTACTTACAAAAGTCAATTAATATTTCTCCTCTCTCAATTCTATTACTCATCCCATGTGGTCCTACCTACTTCTGGTGGTAAATTCAATTTCCTAACTTTTGCATTAAAATCACCCATACAATCAGACATTCATTAAACTTACGGTGACTTTTGCTTTATTTATAAAATTCTTACATGCCATCACTTTATTATTTTAGTTTTAACTGACATTGAAAACGCCCAATGTTACATTTATTAGCTGTTGAAAGCAAGCAAATCTTTATCATTTTATAAACTCTTGCCAAATCGATCTAGATTCTAGAACATTAGGCGCTTCCTTCTCTGTTCTTTACAAATATGCTCTAATTCATTGTTGGAGGGTTCGTAATGGATTTAAAGCGAGTAAAGAGTGAAAAATGGCTGTTATCACAATTTGCATAAGCTGAACTTCCTTGCCAAACCTGTTTAATTACCTACATATTTGGGCGGGAAAATTTGACCAAGTATTGTTCATTGCCAAGTATTATAAGCTAATACAAAAACACGCGATTCTGATATTCAAATGCAACGTTTAGTTTTGTAATAATTTCCAATGCTAACTTATTATAACGTTAGAAAAAGGTTAGCAAAAATAAAATGTTTCTCATTTGAGTAAAATAGTCAGGGTAATACAGTAAGCCAAGAGGCCGTGGACTCGTGGTTCGCTTTCTGTACAACGTTGAATTATAAAGCAAATTTCCTCATAACGTTAACGCTTCATAATGGAAGATCAAGCGTTAGACGTGGAGGAGATTGCTGTAGAGGAAGACGTCAGCTTTTTCACTGATATTGATGAATTACAGTCCCATGGAATTAACGTAGCTGACATTAAGAAGTTAAAATCTGCAGGGATTTGTACTGTACGTGGCGTTCAAATGACAACTCGCCGCAAAATGTGTACCATTAAGGGTCTCTCTGAAGCTAAAGTAGATAAAATAAAGGAGGTAAGTATTAAAAAAATATACATAGTTCATGCCTAAATTATACACACTCCAGAAGATTTAAGGAATAGTCGTTCCTGCCAAGGTTCAGATAATTATAACCGAGGCATTATGGGTACCATAGATACATTGTACACATATCTTTAATTTTTAGTTTTTTGATGGCTATATAACAAGATGATATTTATTTTGAAATTTAAATGTAAGTTAACGCAGTTTAACTAAGATGTAGCGAAGTTTTAGGGTAATTATTTTATTTACTCACCGTTTATCAACTTACTAGCCGTTCGGGCTTCTTTTTTATAATTATAATTTTTAATAATAATAATAATGATTATCATTATTATTATCTAGCAAAATCGTCATACACGTTTACAATAGGTTTGATATGTAAAAACAACAAACAATTCCCAATGTATGCTGTACAATGCAACAGTTTAAGTAGAACATTACGACCAAGGTCACTGAGTCAGAGAGTTATATATCTTTATTTTTTAATGGACTAGTGTACAGTATTACTAATCTTGTTTCGCATTGTGAAGCGCAATAATATTATAACAACAACAATAACGATCGAGGAAAGTTATCGGATGCTTATTTCCAGTTGGGTCCTTTGTTTAGGCTTTTATATATATATATATATATATATATATATATATATATATATATATGCAGGTAAATCACTGTAGGTGCGCGTGATCTAGGTATATGCTGATAACCACAAGGAAAGAAGAATACACGAAGTTCCCAAGCGCTTTCGTGTAATTCACATCTTCAGGGGTGAGTACAGTGTGGGGTAAGAGATGTTTGGTTCACACTCAGGATGGGATGGAGAAAGGAAACTCACAATGTGCTCTCTTTATACATGTTGCATTGGATGTACAATGCAGTTTGGTGCTGGGAAGGCAGCATGGTTACAAGCGTGATGTAGAGAGAGCTGGTTGGTGAGGGTGCTCAGAGAAGAACCAGCTTGTGGGTCGCCATGCTCGCCGGCGGGAGAGAGGACCGCCAGGCAGACGGAGGAGGAGCGAGGGCCGCCAGGCAGCGGCGGAGGAGGTGTTGCTGGCTGCGGCTGTAGGTAGAAAAAGACAGGTCACCACGAGGTCAGGTCTTAAATAGCGGGGGGTAGGCGTGGCTTAGTAGTTGACCCCCGCTCCGTGATGTATGGCGGCGCTGGTTGACCTAGACCACGAGGCATACACTGGGGAATTGGTGGGGTTGGCTACTCAGCGACAAACAGCGTTTGTAGGGGAGAAATCCACTACAATAGACTGTACTCACCCCTGAAGATGTGAATTACACGAAAGCGCTTGGGAACTTGGTGTTTTATTTTTCCTTGTGGTAATCAGCATATACCTAGATCACGCGCACCTACTGTGATTTGCTTGCATATATATATACATACATATATATATATATATATATATATATATATATATATATATATATATATATATATATATATATATATATATATATATATATATATATATATATATATATATATATATATATATATATATATATATATATATATATATATATATATATATATATATATATATATATATATATATATATATATATATATATATATATATATATATATATATATATATATATATATATATATATATATATATAGGCGGGTGAGATCAAGTCTACAGAGGTCAAGTATAGGTAATGACCCTACTAATCTTCACAAAAGCACCGCAGCGGTGACAAGGAAGGTATAAAAAGTTTAATTGTTGGTGACTCACAGGTAAGGTACTTGGACAGAGCCTTTTGTGGTAAAAATAAAAATAGGATGAGGGTGTGTTTGCCAGGGGCTGGGGTGGGGGATATAGTTGACAGGATGGAAGACTTTCTACATGACCGCAAGCAATGTGTGGTGATTAATGGCACGAAATCGTCATCTGTACCTGTAACAAGTGGGGTACCGCAGGGTAGTGTATTGGGCCCGCTGTTGTTTGTTTGTTTCATAAATGATATGCCTGACGTTGTACACTCCTCCATACAAATGTTTGCCGATGACGCCAAGTTATTTCGGGAAATTAAGAACCAAGCGGACTGTGAAGAGCTGCAGAAGGACCTCTGTGGGCTCCAGGAATGGTCGAAGGAATGGCTGCTGAGATTCAATGTCACGAAGTGTAAGAGGATGCACCTGGGGCGTACCAACGGTAAGGAGGCGTACATATGTCCCAACGGGATGAAGAAAATGTACTAGTTGAGACTGTGTGTGAGAAGGACCTAGGTGTGTATGTTGACAATGAGCTGAAGTTCTCGGGCCATTGTGAGAAGAAGGTAAATCAGGCAAATAAATTATTGGGTCTTATAAGAAGGTCGTTCAGATATCTAGACGGTCCGTCCCTCGTGACGATCTTCAGGAGTGAAGTGCTTCCCCATCTGGAGTACTGTCACCCCATCTGGTCCCCGAGATATGCTAGGGACTGTCAGTTGGTTGAAAATGTTCAAAGGAGGGCCACCAAGCTGGTGCCTGCACTTCGGCATCTCAGCTACCCTGCGAGATTGGAGCGCCTGAACTTGCCTAGCTTATACTACAGACGGGCAAGGGGGGACCTAGTTGAGGTTTATAAGCATCTCAGGGGGCACTACTCAGTTGAGTGTCCTTACTTGGAGCTGGCGGACGCTCGCCCCACAAGGGGTCACAGCTCAAGATTGAAGAAGCCGCAAGTCCGGAAAACCGTGAGGGCAAACTTTTTCGGAGTGAGGGTTGTAAACTCTTGGAACAATCTACCAGAGAGTGTTGTGACGGCACCGAGTGTGAGCTCTTTCAAGAGAAGACTTGACCAACACTGGAGCGGGTTCAGGTACATTCAGGAGCCGGTGCATGCCCAGTATTTGCCAACAGTGCGTGACAGAGACGTGACCGATCGCCCGGGCGGCTAGCGAGCCGACCTTTTGGTGAAGAATATAAAGGAAAAGAGTCGTGACCGATCGCCCAAGCGGCTAACAAGCCGATCAGCGGCGAAGAGGATAAAAGTAATATCTTGTCTGGTAATGGGAACAAACCCATTATCTGCCTCAGTGCAGGAGGCAACGATATTGGCCGGTGTAGGAGTGAAGAGCTTCTTGATAAGTTCAAGACAGCTATAGATCGTATTAGGACTAAGGGAGGGATCCCTATCATATGTGGTGTCCTGCCTAGAAGGAGAGTTAGCAATAAATGGTTGTCAAGGGCAGTTGGTGTCAACGGCCGTCTTGACGGATATTGCAAGTCAATATCAATCCCATTCATTGACAACTGGGACAACTTCTACGGCAGAAGGGACCTTTATGCTAGGGATGGGGTGCACCTGTCTCGGGAGGGGGTGGCAACCCTGGCTGGGCCCCGAGAGGGGGCAGTTCAAAAGATATCGAAGTCTTTAAACTGCTAGGGGAACATGAGGGCACGGGGGTGGAGGAGACTGCAGTGGGAGCGGGTAAACAAAGTGAAAGATTACAGGGAAATAGTGTTAGGAATGAAGACAAAACTAAAGCAGACAGGGAGTTTAAACCTAAACGCGGTAAAGGGAGGACTCAGAACACGACTAACCTAAATGTCTACTACGCAAACAGTAGAAGTATGAGAAACAAAATGGATGATATTAGGGCCTTAGTATGTACCGAAAAAATCGACATAATAGCATTCACTGAAACATGGATCAACCTAGACTCACGTGAGTTACTGGTCGAATACCAAATTGTTCCATACCAATAGGCAGACCAGGAAAGGAGGCGGAGGAGCAATCTATGTCAGGGATAATCTGAAGTGTGAAATAAATAAGGAAATAAAAACTGAGCGGAATACAGAAACAATTTAAATAGAATTAATCGACGGTAGGGAAAAATTAATCACAGGAGTAATATATAGACCTCCCAATCTTGATAGAGTCAATGAGAGACTTATCTGGGATGAAATGCGCAGGGCTTCCATACACAACAAAGTCTGTATAGTACGGGTAACTCAGAATCAGAGGATTTTCTCGAAACGATCCAGGACTGTTTCCTAAGTCAACATATAACCGAACCCACCCGGGGTAGTAATATACTCGATTTAGTTCTGTCGAACAGAGAAAACCTCATTAGCAATGTCAAGGTAGGGAACGAACTTGCAAACAGCGATCACAAAGAAATTAGATTCCAGTTAGATTTTCAGGGCAGACGTAAGGAAAATTCCACTAAAGTACCAGATTTCAGAAGGGCAAACTTTGACAGTTTAAAGAGGCAGCTGAGAGAAGGGGTGTCGCGCTTGGGCGTGAACCTGACAGATGACACCAACCTGATAACGAGATCTGAGATAGCCGAGTTCCACGAAAATTTAAATAACGAGTTACTTAATGCACAAAGGCAGAACATGCCATACAAAAAACTCAGATCAGACAACAATGACCCTAAATGGATAAATAATTATTTAAAGAACATCAATGGCCAAAGGAAGGCTATAGGTAGAAGGATAAATCATGGCGAAATTTACCTCCAGGATTATTATAAGGTATTGGCGAGTAGGGTTAAAACCGAGATAAGGAAAGCCAAGAGGAATAATGAGGTAAGGATAGCAAGGGAGGCGAAGACAAACCCCAAAGAATTCTACCAAATGTATCAAACTAAAACACGAGAAAAGATTGGACCAATACAGTCAGATACCGGCGAGCTCACTGACAATGACGGAGAAATGAGCAATAATTTGAATAAATATTTTTCAACAGTTTTCACCGAGGCACCGACTCTATTCAGAGATAGTGAAGAAAACAAATTAAGCGAGATGTAGTAACTAGTAGCGATGTTAGTAAGCAAATAGATAAACTAAAGCCTAATAAGTCACCTGGTCCCAATGAGATATTTGCCAGAGTATTAAAGGAGTGTAAGGAAGAGCTTAGTATGCCCTTAGCAAAGTTGTTTAACATGTCCTTAAATACAGGTGTAGTACCTGAATCCTGGAGGATAGCGAATGTAATACCGATTTTCAAGAAGGGGGATACATCACTATCCTCTCACTACCG